CTCGGGTGGCGCGGGCGGATGGTGCCGCCACTGCCACACGAAACTGGTGGAGCTCAAGCGACAGGCATGGAAGCTGGTCAGCGGGCCTGGGACTCCCCTCCGGGTAAGTGACCCCACTCCAGGTTGGGCAGGGCCGCTGGAACTTGGGAGACCTTAGGACTTGGAGGGAGGCTGGGTTCTAGCCGGTCCTGTGGATGCTCGTGGCTCTGGGCCTCAGTTTCCTCACTAGCACGGGTTGTGTGAGTTGGGACAGCTCATCTTGGGTCCAGCTGCAGGTGGGAGGGGTCTGGACAGGCGATTCTCTGGAGCAGATGCCCCACCGCTGGAATCTGGGAGGGGGAGGGGAGCCAGCCTGCAGCGCCCCTCCCAGGGCAGGCTTTCTCCAGGCCAGCCAGAGGCTCCTTGGGGCCCTGGGTCCTGAGCCAGATGTCTGGCAGTGGCTCACCTGGGACAGCATGGAGGGAGAGTTGGCCACCCACTGCAGGTGGGCCGTTTCCACTGGTGCTGGGATACTGCCTCCTGCCTGGCTTCGAGTGTGGGCAGTGGCTATGGCCTCTGGGTTTCCCAGGCCCTCACTGGTGGCTGGGTGCTGGTGGGAGAGGGCTGTGTTGGGCTTTCCGGGCTGGGAGAACAGGCACCATTGTTCAGGGAACAATGCCTCTGGAAGTTTGCGTAGGCCAGGGGAGGCGGGGGTCTCCAGAGGAAGCCTGCACACCCGCCTGCAGTCCAGCCGAAGGAGCATTAGGAAGTCCGCAGAATCCCAGCGGAACCTGAGTGCAGTTCTCCTGGAGGGCGTGGGGCCAGGGGTGGAGACCCTGAGCACCCTTCTGGGCTGGCAGGGTAGGGTGCCAGTCTGGCTTCTCTCCTGGTTCTCTTTCCAGGCCCCCTGGGAGGGGAGAGGACCAGAGACCTGTCCTGGATGCCAGCCCAAGAAATAACATGGGCCCTGGAGGGCCCCAGAGGGGGCTACTGGTGACAGGTTTCTGAGTGCCTTCTGGCAACCAAGGCCAGGGTGCGCAGGGCTTTGCTGACAGCTGTTCTTCCTGCTCTTGCTTTGCCTGGCCTAGTCCTAGGGTGGGCCAGCTGGATGCAGGGGTGGGAGTCCAGGCTCTGGTGGACTCAGGTGTTTTAGAGATCTCTACTTGCAGACAGCTCATCAGGGAAACCATCTGTCTCCACGTCCTGAGTTTGGTTTTGACCCCTCTGCTCCTCAGGGCTAGGGTGGAGGGCTTGGGCCTTTCCTGGCTGCTCTGGAACCAGCAGACCCAGGTCCTGGGCCAGGGCTGTGTGTGGCTCTGACCCTCCCCCACCGTGTGTGCCTCTAAGGGGACGGTGGCCCCAGGCCTGTGCTGTGAGTACTGTCCAGCTGTGGGGTTCTCTGGCTGAGGAAGGGCTTGGGGCCATCCTGCAACCGTGGGACCTCAGTGGGTCCCCGTCAGCTGTGCGGCTGGTCCATGTTGACTGGGTGCCCTCAGGTGAGGCTGCGGTGGCTGCTTGGCTGTGGCCCAACAGGTGCACCGCTTTTCCCCAAGGCCATGGTGACTGCAGGCATCCAGGGCTGGGGTGCTGAAGTCTCTCCAGGGCTCTGTTTCTTATGCTTGGCCACAGGAGATGGGCTCCTTGGCTTAGAGAGAGTTCTGCCAGAGTGGGCCTGGGGCTGTGCTGGGATCTGGCCCTGGCCCCCTGGAGTCCTGTTAGATTCCTGCCAAATCTCAGTGGCAAGGGGAGGTCTAGGGCATTGAGGGACCTGTGGATCCCCCTAATCGTGCCATGCTCTGGCTGGCTTCTGCTGTGGGGCCTTGGCCAGGGTCACAGGATCACCTGTGTGCAGCACTGCTGTTGAGTGGCCTGAGCAGCCATGGGGCTGGCCATGAGCTGGGGGCCATCGGGTGGCCCAGAGTTGAGGCCTGCCCTCCCTCCTGGCCCTGTGCTCTCATCTGTCTGGGCCAGGGACCCTCATCCTGTGCCCTCCATCCCTCTCTCCTTGGGCCCTGTCTTGAATGGGGAGTATATCTACTTCCTGCCCTGTTGTCCTTCCTGTTCCGAGGATGGTGTGGCCTCTGCCCCCCGGGTTCCCCTCCCCACACCCCAGCATCCCGGAGTGGGGGACCCTGATGTCACCTTGCCCTGGTTCCCTGTGCTGCCTTCCCAGCTACCCTTGCCTCTGAGATGCCCCTGCCAGGCCTATAGCCCCCACTCACAGACCAGAGACAGCCTTACCTCTTTCTGCTGCAACTGAGCCTCATTCTTCTCCTTGCCCTGAGTCCTCATCTGCCTTGGTGAACTGGGCACCAAGTTCTAGTAGACTTTGTCCTCACTGCTGTCTGCTGAGGGGGGCATGGGTTCCAGGTTACCTGGAACTGTTTGTTGAACGACTGAGTGACCAGGCTAAGTGACCCTGAGGGGTGCTGGGGCTGGATTTTGGCCGTGTCCCCAAAGGTGATGGCCCACACTGGTCACTCTCGTGTGAGGAGGCGGGGTCCTGACTGGGAACTCTTGCCAGCTGCTGCCTGAGCTCATCCAGAGGCAAGGTGACATTTGAGTGTCAATACTGGTGCTAAACTGAGTATCACTTGGATGGGAAGTGATCAATTCTCATTTAGCCTTGATGCAGGCAGGCCCCATCCTCCAGGCCCCTGAGGGCTCCTAGTGTTGTGCTGTGAGGTGGTTTTCAGATGTCACCAGGCAGATAAGGCCACCCGTAGGTCCAGCTCCAGCTCCTGGACTCTCTGGGCTCCCTGGAGCAGGTCTAGCCCTGCTGCCTGTGTGGCCTGGTACGTGGCTGCTGGCCCTGTTGCTGCCTGTGCCTCTCCAATTGGGCGAGGCATGGCTGCCTCCCTTCCCTGTCACCTCTCTGAAGCCTGCTTTGGCCACACTGGGCCTGTGGCTCCCTGGGCCTGATGTGGATGTGCGCCCTTGGGTCGGACCCCTGCTGTGGCTGCCCCCCCCCCTGTTTGGAGCCTGGTGGGCACTGTGCTGCCTCGGGCACTGCAGGGTGGGGCCCTGGCTCCCCAGCTGCACCAGGTGCCATCAGATCCCTGGCACCTGGTGAGGTTGAGAGGAGCCAGGGCTCCTTAGGGCAGCTGAGGGGGGCAGGACCTGGGGCAGGACTCGGGGCTCTGGGGGTGCTGCTCCTGCTCCAGGCTGCCTTGGCGTGGGGTGGGTGAGGACTTGCCTGCTGGCTTGGTCGCACAGATGCTAGGCCTGGGGTGGGTGTGGCCTCTGAGTCTGACTGGGCGGAGATGAGCATTGGCATCTGGCATGGTACAGTGCCCGGGATACCCAGGATGAGCTTCCTGATGAGGGCAGGGCCTCTAGGGGGCTGGTGAGTATGGCCGCTGGCCTTGCTGTCCCTCTGTCCAGGACTGGGGGACAACTGTACGTCACCCTGCATCTGGAGAGTCAGGGCCTGTGATGGTCTCGAGTGGGTGAGGGAAGGGGTCTGAGGCCGAGACTCCCTCTGGCCATCCTGGAAGGCTCTTGTAGTGAGCTGGGAGTCTGAAGAGCAGGTTCCTATCTTAAACAGCAGGGAAAGCCTAGTTCCCCTTTCCCTTTGCCTACCAGGAAGCTCACAGTTAATTGTGCAGCTCTGGAAGAGTGCACAGGACTTTTCCCATGTATCTTATGAGAACTGATTGTTCCTGTGTGTTTTTACTGTGATTGTCTTGAGTTATAAGTTCTGATTTTAATTTGTATTGTGCAGTTTCTGAAAGCTGTTGTGTGATCTTTGTGGAAGGTGAGTCCAGGTGACATGAGTTTGTGGTGTGTCTGGCTGTGGTCTGTCACTTGGTCCCTGGAATTGGGGCATGTGCTCTGTAGGGCCATGGCTGCCAGGGGGTGGTGCTTGGGGCAGAGTGGGCAGGGTGAACCTGGGGGCCTCGTGGCCCTGTGCCTCATCCCTGTAGCACTGACAGTGGGCTCCAGGCATTGCACTGTGGTATCCAGCCTCACATGGATGTCCTGCCAGAGGGCCATGACCCCTGACCTGGGTGTGGACCAACTGAGCTGCTGATTGTTTCTGTGTGGAGTGGGTCGGAGCCCCCTAGCTTTGGCTCCTCCCAGACAGGGCACTCTGCACTCCTGCTAGTCCCCAGTGGTGGCTGGGTGGCCTGAGGGACTGTCCTGGAGCCTCCCAGCCCTGCCTGCTGTACAACTGCCCTGGGTGTGGCCTAGGCCCCACCTGGCCTTGGCATGGACCCCATCTGGCCCTTGCCCGCTCTGGCTGGAGGAAGTGTTGGAGTCTGGCTTCCAGTCTTAGCTCCCTTCTGCTCCTGAGGGTGGGGCCAGTGACACCTGGTTGTCTCAGGGGTGCTGGAGAGGGCGAGGCATGGGATGGCATGGGTGAGGCTGGAACAGAGGCCCTAGTGTCACCAGGCTGTGCTCAGCTGCCCAGGCTGAGGGCCTGGAGGACAGTGTCTCAGCTCCTCTGAACCTCAGCAGTGATCAGAGTGGTCCCCAGGCGGAGGCTGGGAAGTGTCCAGTGGCAGCAGGAGCCCGGGGCCTGGCAGTGGTGTGTGGCTCTCAAGGGAATGCAAGGCGTCCCACCAGCTGCTCTTTTCTTCCAGGTGACTGGTAGGAAGGTTGGCCTGGTCCTGCTGTGCCTGGGCTGGGCTTGGCACTGTTCCCTCAGGGCACACTGTCCTTGAGCTTGGAGGGAGGCTGCACGTCCTGCCCACCAGCACCTGCTAACCCGTGTGATGGGGTGGCATGGGGGTCACTTGTCCAGTCCCCGAGCTCACCCCCTGTGGCGGTGATGCCTGCCTTCCTCTGAGTCTGCACCAGCGTGGGAAGGGCAGCTGAGGCTCAGAGCTCTGCCCAGAGACCAGCAAGGGCTGCGTGGTAGCAGTGTCCCCTGTACTGAGAGGGACTCACCTGGAGCTAAGTGGAGGCTGATGGGGGGCTGGACAGGGGTGGCCATGGCTTGGAGTGTGGCTGGCTGAGTGCCTCCTCTGGGTGCTGAGGTCCCTGTGAGCCGCTGCCACCCTCCAGCTGGCAACTTTATCCCCAAGGACCCCAGCTTTGCTGGGCAGTGGGTGAACAGGGAGGCCTTTGAGAGAGAATGGCCTCAATGAGCCCATCTGTGCCCACATGGCCTGGCTGGACCGTGCCTGGCACAAGCCTTGGGCTGCATGCCGGCTGGTGCCAGGTGGACATGGGGGAGACCCGCCCTGCCAGGGGCTTAGAGCTGCATCCTGGAGGATGGGGCCTGGCCTGGAGTGAGATGCCCCATAGGGCGGGAGGCACTGGGCTGCCAGTTTCCAGGCCGGAAGGCCAGGCCCGGCCCCTGCCCCCACCCTGCCAGGCTGTAGGGCACTCGGGAAGTCCTGGGCCACACGGCCCATGGCGCAGCCGTCTGGCCTGGCAGCCAGCCCCTTCCTGGACCTGTTGTCAACTCCGGAAACAGTGGGGCAGGGTCACAGCCCAGAGTGCTTTGTTTGAGAAGGGAAAGGATGAGGTGGAGAGGGCGGCAACCATGGGGTCCTCACTCATACCTACTACGGGGTGGGGTAGGGGACGTGCTGCCAGGGCCGCTTGCAGATGGGGCCTCTGGTCCCACTTGGCCCTGGACGTGGGTGCCAGGGTCCCCTTTGTAGACATCGGCGGGGGGTTCAGGAGGCCCTCCTGTAGTGTGGCAGGGTGGGCTTTGCCTGTCCTATTCCTGGACAGGGCTGGGCACCCTGGGTCAGGAGAAGACGACTTTCCTGCCGCTGAGGATGGAGTGGCCTCCCACGTGGGAGAAAATGGAAGGGTATGAAAAGTCATCATTTCTAAGTAGGGAAGCTCCCGAAACCCTTGGCATGGTGGGTGGGTTTTCGTGGTGCTAAATTGAATCAAATTAAGAAAAACATTTTTCCAGATGCAAGTAAAATATCTGTTTAATTAGGCCATAAAGGAGGAATTAAAAGTCATATTTTGCGGTGGAGTAATTACCGTTTTTCTGAAGGCACTGGTTTTGGCGGGTGTGGAGCAACCCCTCAGGGCTCAGCCTGAGGGTGGGCAGTGATCTGGGAGTGCTGGGATGGTGACCTGGCCTTGGAGGGGCCCTGGCTGCCCCTTGCCCCCAGTGTGTGCTGAAGCCATGAAGGTGCAGGTTGGGCAGGGCAGGACGCTGTGGGGCCTTGCTGGACCCTCAGCAGGGGTCTCCAGGCTGTGCTGTGCTCATCTTGGTCACAGAGGGGCTGGCCCTGGTGTGGGCTATGTGGTTTTCCTTCTGGGTCCCTGGCTGTGCCCAGCAGCTGCCTGGTTATGTGAGGGCCTCTGTCTGGGTATGTGACCAGGGTTGGGGAGGTGGGCTGGCTGGCATCAGCTTTGTGTCCACTGGGAGTGGGGTGGGCTTGGGTCCTGTCCCAGGACAGATGCTTGTCCCAAAAGGGGACTTTGAGTCTTGTAATCCCAGTGCTCTGGGAGGCTGAGGCAGGAGTATTGCAAATTTGAGCCCAGACTGGGGAACTTCATGACTTAGTGAGGCTGTTTCAAAGTAAAAAACAAAATGGACTGGGGATGTAACTCAGTGTGAAGGCTCTGGGTTCAGTTTTCCAGTATTGAAATAAAGTGGGCTTTGACCACTGACCAGCCCCCCAGAGCCAGTGCAGCTGCTGGGGTGCATGTCTCTGGCCACTGTGCCCTGTGCTGGTGACTGGGCAGCCCGTGTGGCTCCCAGCGGGGTGTGAGTGGAGGGGGCCGCCCTGTGTGCTGGCCTGCGCCTCAGCAGGCCTGTGTTCCAAGAGCCCCCCATGGGCCTGGGTGTGGACTGGGTCAGGGCCACCCTAGCTGCTTGTCACCCTCCCTCCCTGGCTGGCTGGGCAATGGTTCTACTGGTTCTTAGGGCCTCTGCCCTTCCTGCTGCCTGCTTCGTCCCTGGCTCCTGTGGTGCAGGCCACACAGGGTGCAGAGGGCTCCCCCATGCCGAGGTCCCCAGGACAGGCAGGTTCCCTGGCTGTCTGGCAGCCCCAGAACAAAGGCTGCTGGGCTGTGGAGGCTGGTGTGGGGGCTGGGCTGGGCCTTGGTTGGGTTAATGGCTGTGGGGGGCGGGGTGGGGGGATGACTTCCTTCCCCTTCACAGCCTCCTGCAGAGTGGAAAAAGCAGTGCAATCAGAGCGACTGGAAAGCTGGCCTGGCTGCCCGTGGCTGGGGCCCTGGCAGTGGCCATCTGGGAGGGAGCTGGGCGCCTGGGTGGACCTGGGCTGCAGAAGTGGAGCAGAGGGAGTGCCTGCCTGGGTGGGGGACCCTCCTGCCTCTGCCCCTCTGCCACCTGAGACCAGTGGTGAATTCCTGCAGGGGGTGGGGGTGGGGAGCTGGTGACTGGGACCAGATCTGCCAGGTGCTTCAGAGCAGGAGGTAATCCAGGCCTCTGGAGCTAGTGCCCTGCTGGTACAAGGCTGGGCCTGGGAGGGTTCCCCTGTCATGTGAGTTGGCATCCCTGGAGCTGGCGCTGGGGCTAGGGCTGGGGCTGGAGAGGGAGGGCCCCTGTCCACAGCGGCCAGGGCCCCCTGCAGTGCTGGCCACCCCCACTGGGACACTCACCACTGCCAGCCTCCTGGACATGGGGAGGGTGCAGCCGGCCATAGGGCAGGCTGGGGGAGCTCCAGGGCGGGCAGGACCCTAGGGCTCAGTGACCTCACCTTCTTCAGCTTGGAACCGGGCACCTTTGAGGACACCATGGTCTTTTTTTGTGGCCAAGCAGGGGCAGGGAACCCTAGCCAGCGAGGGAGGGAGCCCTAGGCTGGGGGACCCAAGGAAACCCCCGAGAGGGGCCCATGGTGGGTTACAGGGTCTCTGGCTCTTGTCACTGGAAAAAAACTGCAGGACCCTCACTGGGGCACAGTCAGGAAGCTGCCCAGGTGAGGCCAGCATGGGCCTTTGGAGAGGTGCAGTGAAGCTCTGATGGGAGTGGGTCTGGTCTCAGGGTGTCCCCAAGTCAGGTGGCCCAGCATGTGCGTGTTCCCCTTGGGGGGCTGGCTGGGCTGTATGTTGCATGTGCTGGAAGCTTAGAGAGCTGCTGCCTGTGTAACCAAGCCTCTTTCCCAAGGACCAGGTCAGCGGGAGGAAGCGTTCGCCTGCTGGCTTGGGGCTTGGTGCCTTGAGGCTGGGAGTCTTTTCTGGAGCAGGTGTCCTGGGAAGGAAACCAGCTCTGTAACTGTGTGCCTCATCACCTTCTGAACCCCACCTCTGAATCCTAGACTTGGGGGGCCTCAGATCTGAACCACTGAGGTAACTTGGGGGCTCTGATTGTGTCCTGAACCTGGGGTTCCTCTCAGAAGCACACTTGCAGACTCACGCCTCTCCTTGGGTCTTCTCTCCGGTGGCTGCCGTCACAGCTGCAGCCTGGCTCCAAAAGCAGGGCAATGCTTGCCTGATGTGGCCTGGGGTCACCTCCTGAGAGAGTCACCTCCTTGGAAAGGGCTGCCCCTTGGGGAGTCCTCCCTGTGCGCCACAGCAGCCCCCATCTCATTTTCCTGCCAGCCCTGGAGAGGCAGGCAAGTTCTCCAGCCCTCACTCTGCCCAGGACAGAGGGTGAGGGCCTCATGGCCATACCCTTGCTAAGGGCCCAGTTGTCTGGGAGCTGCCGCCAACTGGCCTCATTAGCCCTGTGGTGAATGGTGGGGGAGGCAGCGGTTATCAAGGGCACTGTGAGCCTCACTATTAAGCCCCGATAATTATTTTCCTGCTGGGCTCGTGCGGATGAAGCCGTGTGGGGCTTATTAATCAGTTATGGATGGAGCCAGCGGCTGTGTGATGTGGCGGTGGGTGAGGCTGTCTGCGAGGCAGCCCCACCTGGCCACTGACTGTACCTCTGTCCCTTGCTGTCCTAGGACCCCTGCCTCTCTGCTGTGCTCCTGGACAAGCTCTCGGTGCCTGGGGTCTTGCCTGCATGCCGTCCCGAGGCCGAAAGCCGCTGTGATGCCTGCGCCACACACCTGCACCAGCTCACCCGGGAGGCGCTGCGCCTGCTGCAGGCCCCTGCCAGCAGTGAGGACCCTGACATCTCCCGGGGAGGCCTCGTACCTCCGGGCCCTGGTGCCATGACCAGTCCCAGGGACGCACCTGCTCCTGCGGGAAGACAGCCTTCCGGCCCACCTGACAGGAGAAAGGGGCTGGCCTGGCCGGCTGGGCCCAGTGTCCAGGTGTCAGTTGCCCCTGCCGGCCTAGGTGGAGCAGTGAGCACTGTTACCATCCAGACGCAGCCGTGCCTGGACGGAGTGTGGAACGTCTCAAAGGCCAGCAGCTTCCTGCCGCCCACCTGCCTGGTGAGTGCTGGGCTTCCCCTGGGCCTGGGGCTTTCTGAGGCCCTTGTGCGGGGTCCCCAGACATTCCTGGGGCCCCGCGTCTGATCACTGAGGTGGCCCTCTGTGACCCTGGGAGCTGCTGCTGGGGACCATCCGTCATGCAGAAGGATGGAGGGGCCGGGGTTGGCAGGAGGGAAGAGCTCTCTGTGAGGACCCTGCCACACCAGGCTGCCCCAGGTGCTGCCCAGGTGGCTGGGTGGCGGAGCCTGGGACCTAGGGTGAGGCCTGTGTTGGAAGCTGAGGTTCACGCCCACTCCCACTCTGGGCCTGGTCTCTGGAGAACAGAGACAGTGTGTGGAGAGTGTCCCTTCCCAGGTGCACACCAGGAGTCCCTGGGGAGGGCCCCGCTTCCCTGCAGCTCTGGGTTGCCCTGCCCAGGGACCAGCAGTGTTCACGGAGGGTCCAGGTAGATGGCTGCTCTTTCCTCGGCCCACAGGGTCTAACGGGTCCCCTCAGTGTCCTCTGAACCCCCTCTTTTCCATTTTGAGAGGCTTCTTGGGGTGCTGGGAGGTTTGGCTTGGGTTTGGGGAGTATGTGGGCTTGGCTGTGAGGCATATCCTTCACTTTGTCCAGCCAGCCCCGGTGCATACCCTGCCTGCTCAGATGGCTTCTGCAGGTGCCAAGGTGCCTGTGGACTAAGGCTGAGCCACCAGTGCCCTGCCAGGTTCCCATGCCTTCGTGCTGTGGGTCTGGGGTTGGTGAGCAAGCAGATCAGGACCCTTGGGCAGAGCAGGAGGTGTGAGGTGCTGCAGGCAACGGTGCTGGGAGTCGGGGGTGCCAGCAATGGTGCTGTCACACAGAGAGGCCCTCTGCGTGGCCATCCCAGAGCCCTATGGGCAGCTGTGGGCAGTGCCCATTCCAAGTATCAGGCAGCCAACTGTACCAGCTTGTGGTTGTGAAGCCTCTAAAATGAGTTGAGGGCCCTGGGCCTTGGTCTCCCTGCCCAGTGGCTTTTCAGGGGCTGAGCAGAGGTACAAGAGGTCCAGATGCAGCGTGGGGCCCTGCCCTGGCTTCCTGTCCTGCTGGCCCCTCGCTGGCCTAACCCTGCGCAGGCTGTGGTTGTCCCAAGATTGCCTGCTGGGATCACAGCCTTTGGCATCAGACTGAAAGTAGGGAACTTGGGGAGAAAGTCTTGACCGTAACTGGATCCATCTGGGGTGATGCTTTACCCCAGGAGTGGCCTCGCTGCTGTTCCCAGCCAAACAGCACTCTCTGTTATCATCCTGGGGAGGCCTAACCACTGCTGCCCAGGAGGAGTGTGTCAGGGAAGCAAGCTGGTGCCCTCCTAGAGGAGGTGGCGTTCAGCTGGACCTCAAGGCACCCTTGGGGTGATGGGCCCAAGACCTGAGACAGTGGCCCCAAAGTGTCCCTCCATCCCATTTCCCTGCCGTGTATCTGGCTGGGAGTTGGCTGGCTGATGTGGCAGTCTTTTGTCTCGGTGCAGGATGGGGCTAGGGATCATGGGGTGTCCCTGTCGGCAGCCAGTGTAGGCGTTTAGGGCACCCACTCCCTGTTTTATGTGTGCATCGATTGTGTTCTGGGTAGGCAGGAATGGATTTATAATTAGGGATCAGTCTAGCAATCAATAGGGAGATTATTAGAACTGTAAATAGAACTTCAGGACTGATGAGGAAGTCCCCGACCCCCGACCTGGACATCAGTTGTTAGAGGTGGCCTGGAGTGTTAAAAATGTTTGCTCTATGGTAAATATTTCTGGAGAGATGCGCTGTGGACATCAGGACTGACCCAAGGCAGACTGACTTGACGGGTGGTGGTGGCTCAGCCTGGTGGGCGCTGCCCTCTACATGAGGCCCGTGGAGTGCTGAGAGGGAGAGGCCAGGCCTGCATGGAGGGCTGTGCTTGAGGGGAGGCGGGTGACAGGGGCCAGAAGCCAGGTGGAAGCTGCTGAGTGGCCCTGCTGGGCCTTGGCGTGACAGTCTGGGTGCCACAGTCCATGACCATGCAGACCCCAGCCCACACCTGTGTCTGGGAGCAGAGCATGGTTCCTGCTGATGCCCCCCCCCCCATGTGTGCAGATAGCCCTGGTGTCGGTGTCCTGCCCACCTGCCTGACTGTGCTGGACAGAGGCCCGGGAAACATGACCCCCACCCTGGCCTCACCTTGGCATTAGGACACCCTTTCTCACAGTGCTGTCAGTGCTGGCGTGTCTAGCAGGGGTGATGTGGCGGTCACTTCACTGCCAGCTGCTTGCCAGGTGGGCAGGGACATAACAGACACCCCCAGAGCAGTGGGGTCCCCAGGAGCCAGGACCCCTGTCTGTAGTATTTGGGTGGCACCGGCTTGGGGGGCCTCTGTAGGGCTCCATGGGGGTGGGAAAAGTTGGGGGGCTTTGGCCATGTTGGGGCCTGGCTCTCAGATGACACTCCCTGACCCCTGCTGGGGCCCTCAGGTAGGCCTCAGTTTCCCTGCCTGTGGAGTGGGCATTGGCAGGATGGTCCCTTCTCCGCTGGGGCTGCAGAGACCCTGCCCATTCTGGAGGCCTTCATGAGTGGGTGATTTTGCTGTAGGCCCCAGAGCTTCTCCCCTCAGCACCTCAGGAGCCTGTGAGGGATTTGTGGGTGTGGCTAGTGGAGACTTTCCCTGTCCTGTCCTGTAGGTCAGGAGCCCTGGAGGGCGCCCAGAAAGGCTAGTGTGGCACTTACCACACAGTTTTCTGCAGAACCCTGGTGTTCCAGGGAGGCACTGGTGCCAGCTGACACTGAGAGCCCCATGGGGGCAGGGCTGTGGCATTGGTGGGGGGCGGTAGGTAAGCAGGCATGGGTTCTCCTGACTGCCCCAGCCACAGCCGGCCTCACGCTCTCCTCTCTCCTGCTTTTCCTTTCGTTGCTGCTGTGGCGCCTCCATCTCGCTTTCCGTTGGCCACCTTCCCTCTCCTCTGTCCTGTGTTGTGGTCCCCTCTCTTCCGCCCGCCTCTCGCTTGGGATGGCTTCTTTTGGCATGCTTGGGCTCTGCTTCTGGCAGGAGTCGGCAGTGGCCGTCCCCGTGGTCGGAGCTGTGGGACGGTGGAGCTGCGGCTGGTGCGGGACTCCCGAGACAGGTTAGTGCGGGTGGCTGGGGCCACAGGTGGCCTCTCCTCTGTCCTGTGTTGTGGTCCCCTCTCTTCCGCCCGCCTCTCGCTTGGGATGGCTTCTTTTGGCATGCTTGGGCTCTGCTTCTGGCAGGAGTCGGCAGTGGCCGTCCCCGTGGTCGGAGCTGTGGGACGGTGGAGCTGCGGCTGGTGCGGGACTCCCGAGACAGGTTAGTGCGGGTGGCTGGGGCCACAGGTGGGGTTGTGCGGGGCTGGAGGCAGACATGCAGGATGGGTGGCTGGGCCTGGGCAGCGGGCAGGGGCATGGCTCTTCCCCGCCGTGACCCCTCTGGCCTCAGTCGCACATCTGCAGGCAGCAGGGTGCCGCTGTGACTGGGCATGGCCCCCAGTGGTGCCATCGGTGGCCACGGGGCCGAGCACAGGAGTGGCTGCACTCTGCTCCCAGGAGGTGCAGGGCCTGCTGTGATCCGTCCTTTCCCAGGCTGCTCGGCTCTGCACAGGGCTGTAGTTTTTCCTAGGGCTGACAGGAAAGGAATTCCTCCTCAAGGTGAAGCAGGGTCAGGCTGGCTTCTGAGAGGTGTGAAAGTGTCCCTGCCCTGCAGGACAGGGCACACGTGAAGGGCACAGTGTGCTGCCCAAGCTATAGGGCTGCCCTTTTCTGTAACTGATCTTTGCTTCTCATAGGCCAGGGCCGGGAGGGCCAGCCTTCCACAGGCCTGGGGCTCAGAATTTAGATGGCTTCTTCCTGCTCACTGCAAAGAGGGTTTTGGAAGCTGGCGCTGGCCGTAGGCTGGGAAGGCAACAACCACCATGGAGGGGAGTGGCAAAGGGCCTCCTGGAGCTTTTCCTCCCAGGGCCTGGGCTTATTCTGCTGCAGTGCTCTCCATTTTCTACGGTGTCCCTGGGGAACCTGAGGACACCGGGCTCCTCAGCTATACTTGGGTCACTATACCTGGCCTCTGTCCCCTCTGCTCCATGCACGAGGCAGCCGGGGCCTGGCCATAGACCCATCCCAGGCCTGGAGCTGGGCACTCGGAGGGCTGAGGCCAGCAGCCCTGGGGGAGGGCATGGTTACCTGCGTGCCAGGGGCCTGAGGCCCAAGGGGCAGACAGATGCCCCATAGTGGGGATGCCTGCCTGGAGTTCGAGTGTGGCATCTGGGGAGCTCTCACGATGTCTCAGCTCATCCCAGGCATCTCCCTTCTGGGATTTATTTTAGCTAATTAGTTGGAAATGCCAGAGTAATATTTCAGACTCTGAGCATCCTACATTATCAAACACAGGGCAGTTAGCACCCTGGCCATATATCTATTGTAGCTTCTTGTCCAGTGACACCTCTGGGGGCTCCCAGGTGGCCCAGGCAGAAGGGCCCTTGGTCCTTGGGACCTCTGTGGTCACTGCATCTTGGGGACTTGGGAGGGCCAGGAGCTCAGGCCCTGGTGCGTCCACCTGCCTCCCATGTCCCCAGGTCTTTGTGTCTCGCCTCAGTTGCCTGGCTGTGAGTTCTGGGGCCTTCCCAGCTACACCTATGGAGTATGGGCCTCTGGGTGCACAGCTTGTCTGCTCCGCTCCCGGTATCAGGGCACTGGGCGCCTCTGCCCACCTCACGTGCCTCACATGCACTCTCATTCCCTTCATTCAGGCTGAGGCGGCAGTTGCTGCCGTGGCGGTGGTGGACTCTGTCCGAGATGGTGCCTCCATGGCCCCTGGTGGCCTGTCCAAGGCGTGGGGCCGAGCGGGGACCTGCACATCGGCCCTGGTCACCCCAGCCCCTGGCACCTCAGTGGGGGGCTCCGCAGGCCCTTCAACTGCAGCCTCCTTCTTCATAAGGTATGTCCTCAGGGCCTCGGGTCACGTGCTTGCTGAGCAGTGTGGAGGGGTGGGCAACTCCAGACCTGGGTCCTGGTCTCTGGCGGCCTGAAGGCATCCAGGGAACACTGCTGCCTGGTGGAGGGGTGGGTGCTGTGTGAGGCGCGGCTGCCTGTGTGCTCTTCCTCCTGTCCACTGGCCTCCTGGGCACCCTGCAAGGACAGACTGATCCTCTGAGCCCCTGTCCCAGGCCTGAGCTGGGGTGCTGGGAAGTGACAGGGCCACAGTGTGCAGGCTCTAGTCTCCCCAGTGCCCGGCCCAAGGCTCTGCGGGCACCGGTGCTTGGCATCAACAGCATGGATGTGGGGTCCTGGGGAGGACTGATGTGTGGAGATCAAGTGTGGCCAAGGGAAGCAGCCGGCAGACAGACTGCGCAGTGATGCAGCCCCTGGGCCCCTCGCCCTCGAGGGGCCTGGGGATGAGGATTCCAGGATGTAATTGTGGTAATGAGTGGTAATGGTGAGCGCAGCTGTGGGTCACCGTCCCATTAGCAGCCATGAGGTGCTGATAAGCTCATCTCGCATCACAGGCGGCAGCAGCAATGAGGGCAGCCCGCCCGGGGACTGCAGGCGCCTGGGGAATGACTGGGCATATGATGCGGGCATTGTTGCTGCCGTGCAGGTGACTTGCCTGGGTGGGGTGACCTCAGCTGCCACTATAATGAGGAGCAGGCAGCCTGCTGGGGCTCTGGGGCACGGGGGTGGCCAGCAGTATGTCCCCGATTATGGGACCAGGAGGGGCAGACCTCGAAGCTGCTGCCTGTGTCCCCCACGCCTCTGCCCTGAGAGTCCTGGGCTCAGTTCCATGGGAGGATTTGAAATGCGGGGACCTCTGAAAAGGAAGAACCCTGGGGGCAACCCTGGGCCTGAGGCCCTGGGCCTGAGGGGGTCTTGTCAGGGAGGAGAGGAGTGAGAGGGACACCCTCAGCCAGCTCATTAGCACCAGAGAAGCCGCCTTTTGTCTGAACCAGGCTGGCGCTGTTCCTGCCTGCCATGCTGCTGACCTTGTAAAGTTGCCATAGAAACGAAGAAACAAGAGCAGGGCCGGTCTAGGCAGGTTCAGAGTGGCCTGCCCACTGCAGTTCTCCCAGCTGGTTAGGCGCCCTCTGCAAATGGGGACGTGTGTGGCCCTGGTTGGTTTGGTGTCCCGGCAGGCCCTTGTGCCCACAGTGGCCTGGGCTGGGGTCCTTGGCCCTGGGGAAGGGGTGAGGGCGCTTAGGGGCTGTTCCCTGGCTGTGGGGAGCAGTGGCTTGGTGGGAGGAGGGGCTTGTCTAGAGCCACCAAGGGACCTGGGGCCCAGCCCCAGCCCCTCAAGCCTGCTAGCAGTATTGTGTCCCCACCTCCACCACCATCCCAGGACCTGGGGGCAGCCTGGTCTGGCCCATGCTCTGCCCTTGGGAGGTCTCCAGATGTGTGTGGGTGTTGTGTGAGGGGGCCTTGGATGGCCATGGGGTCATGTCAGGGTGTGGTGTGTGGACGGTGGCGTGGGCATTGAGGGTAGAGTAGGAGCTTGGCAGATGGAGTAGGGTCAGGAGTTGGGGTTCTAAAACCCTGCAGTCCTGGGGTGAGTCTTGGCTTTGCCAGCCCTCTCCCAGCACATCCCCCACTGACACCAGCCTGGGGTTTTCCTCCTGTCCTCCACTGCCTCTGAGCCCTCTTACCCTTGTGTGGGGAAACCCAGGATGCAAGTGCCAGGGTCAGAGGCAGGGCTGGGACTGGCCCTGCACACCCTCAGCTGGAGCAGGGCTGCTGCTGCTGAATCTTCTCCCAAGGCCCTGGGGCTGCTGTAGCTGGGGGCAGAGTCCTCCCACTTGTGGGTGGCTCTCTCAGCACCTTCGGCAGACTGCAGTCCCCTGTGTGCCACACCCCACTCAGCTGCACCCCCCCCGCCTGCCCTTCTGGGACCCCAAATCTGGACATCTTGGGTGAGCTGAGGCAGGCTGAGGGTGGGGAGCAGTGGGGCTCCTTTCCAGCGCAGCGCCCCCCCCGGCCTTCTGTCCACAGCCCCCAGGCTCCCAGTGGAGCTGTGTCATCTGCCTGGGCATTCAGGCTGAGCCAGAGGGGCAGGGCACAATGTGTACCTCTTGGACTCCCAGAAGCAGAAATGTCTGTCTGTCACCTGCTTGTGGCCTCCAGGCGAGGTCCCAGCAGATGTGGAGAAAGCCTAGGTCCTCAGGTCAGGTCCCTGGGTGGGCGGAGGGCTGGCCTGCCCTGCCCACCCCAGTCCCCTGCAGCTGGGAAGCTCTGCCTTGGTGGGGCCCAGTGCCACCCACCTTGCTGTCTCACCTTGCTGCTCAGAAGCCAGAGTCTATACCCCAAATGACAGTGCCTGAGGTGCAGGCCTGGCCACTGCACGTCCCTCATGGTTTGCCAGCTGGGGAGCCGGATGTTGCCAGCTGCCTGGAGCTGGTCTCACAGTCAGGCCCTAGATCCCGTCAGAGGAGGAAGTGCTCTGAGAACAGTGTGTGTGGTGCCCAGTGCTGCGATGGAGGAAGCAGGCCCCTGAGGGCCAGGCGGGCAGCATGGGGAGCCGCCTGGTGGCTCCCAGCCCCTGGGGCTGCTGCGGCCAGGGAGGAGGCACTCAGTCAGGTCAGACTGGTGTGCAAATGCCTGGCAGTAGCCCGCCATGCAGGCTCCTGGCCAGCAGAGCCTCGGAGTGCCTGATGCTGAGTCCTCAGGGTGGCTGAGGTGTGTGCTGTGGACCCCTGGCTCTGGAGGGGCACAGGGGGCGGAGCTGGCTGTGGTCTGGCCATGTGGCTGTCCTAGCAGAGCCAGCCTTGCTGTCCTTCTGGACCTTGCTCCAGTCCCCTGTGCCCCTGGTCAGTCATGGTCCTCCAGCCTCCACCTCCCCTCCACATTTGGGGCATGGTGTGTGATTGCAGGGGGTGCTGCCCCATGGTAAGCTGTGCCTGGACCCCATGACCTAGGGTAGGCCTGGGCTGGGCATGCATGACTGTCTTCTTCAGGCCCCATGTGTGCCCTTTCCTGAAACCTGGGCCAGGCATGCCCCCCCACCATTTATAGACAGGAGCCTATTTGGGGAGCCTCCTTGTCCTGCCTGGGTGCTTGGGCTCCCACCTGCTGATGAAGCCTTCCTCACAGGTCCCAGCCCAGGCAATGCCAGGTGAATGGGGTGGGGCTGCCCTGTCTCCTTGTATCCTCTGAGGTGACCTGTAGCTTCTTCTTACCGAGGCTGCTGGGGAAGCCATGGGGGAACTGGGGTGCGGTCCAAGAAGAGCCCCTGGACTGATTCTGCTCACACTGTAGGCCCTGCCCTTCTCTGCCCCATGGGGTTTGTCCCTTGCCTTCCCTTAGCGATGGGTGGAGTGTCTGTGCCTGAGTGTGGGGTTTGCAGCCCCTGCTCAGGCCGCCGGGTGGGGTGTTGTGTGCTCATGACGCCTGGTGAGGTCTCCAGGGTGCAGACACCTCTGCTGCCACCAGGGACCTTCCCAGCCTGCAACCTCCACCCTCCCTGGCCCTTCCCAGCGAGGTAAGCGCCTACCGTGGCTCTGTTAAAGGCACTGCCACACATCATAGATTACTTTTATTCTCCTCGATGACACCTCACAAGAAGGAAGCTGTCCCTGGGGTCTTTTAAAAGACAGCTCCTGTTAACGAGAGGAGTTAAGAACAGTGCATGTAGATCTCGCCCCTTTGGTGGGAGCGGGGTGGAGGCTGGCACAGCCCTTGGGGCCCAGGGGGACTGCAGAGAAGCCCCCATGCCCGGTCCTTCTTGAGAGACCCATGGGGCTGGGAAAGGACCAGGTGGGTACCTTAGGATGTGGGATTGGAGGGTCTGATGGGCTCCTCTGTTGGAAGTGAGTGATAGGCCCAGGGACAGGGCCTGGCTGGCCACAGGAGCCATTTCATGTGGGTGGTGCCCCTGAGTCTCCTTTCGGGAGAGCTCTGGGCTGTGGCCCTGCGGACTCCGGCTCCATGCAATGGAAAGAGTGTGGGGCCGGGAAGGCTGGGACCAGTAGAGCAGGGCAGGATCGTGTGCAAGCCTAGGCGTGTGAGTGTGCAGGTGTGCTAGGCTCTGTCCATACGCCTCATGTGTGTGTGTGCCCATGTATGTGTGAGGGGGTGGCCTGGTTGTTGGCGGCCTCCGGCTGCACTGGGAGCCACATGTGTTCCCAGCAGAGGTCCTGGGTCTGAGGACACATTGGTCCCGGCCCTGATACAGAGCGCAAATGGTGACAGCAGCATTAATTGAGCTCCTCCTGTGTGCAGGTGCCGTGCTGAGTGCCTTTTATGTATTTGCTCAGTGGGGCCACATGCGAGGGCCCCTCAGAGTTACATCACCCCTGTGGTAGGAAAGGGGAAATTAGGCACAGGGAGGTTGAATTGATATTTGTGGGTCCTGCTGCCTGTTAGTGGCTGCTGTGGTCTGGGCACTTGCTTTGTCTGCCTGACCTCTGTCCACTGTGGATGCCTATCCATGTGCTGGGCAAAGCTGCTTGGCAAGGGTGTGGTAGAGGCCCTGGGATCCCCACTGTGAGCAGTGTACTTGCCTGGGCAGCCACAGTCCTGGCTGTATGCTTAGCGTGCCTGTGGCGTGGCTGGTGGAGTCCGGGGGTGGAACGGCCTGGTGCATGTGTGGACACAGTGACGTCGTCATGGTACACCGCTGGGCCTGCTGAGCTGCTTTCTCCCCCAGGGCTGCCCAGAAGCTCAGCCTGGCCTCCAAGCGCAAGAAGCACCACCTGGCACCCACCCCCTCGTCCCGTAGCACCTCCACCTACCCCACTGACTTCAGCAGTGTCCTGCAGCTGTGCCCTCCCCCGGTGCCACCCTGCCTGCTCAGAGCTGCCCCCAAGGCCAAGGACAACCCAGGCAGCTTCGGAAAGGTAGACTCAGCGCTGAGGCTGGGTGGCCCTGGGAGGGTGGTGGGGTACCAGGCAGAGGGGCCTGGTTCATTCTCCAAGACAGTCGGCATGGGTACAGATGAGGAGACTGAGGTGCTGGGGAGCTGCGCCCAAGGGGAGATGGGAGGTGGTAGGGAGTGACGTGTTATCACAGATCCCATGTGGTGCATAGGAAGTACCTGCACCCAGTCTGAGTCCTGCATGGTCAGGATGGTGGATTGCCCGTTAGGTGGGCTCTTGTACCCAGGAGCGTAAGCAGCCAGGGCCATAGCCAGAGCGGAGGTTGTACCCTGGGCTTTCCCTGACCTTTCCTGGGTCTGGTGGAGTTGGGGCTGCTTGCTCCTGCCCAGCACTATGCAGTGGGCTTCCAGCTGCACAGGAGGTCAATGTGGGCCATCAGTCCTGGCTCCTGGGGCTGCAGCTCCCAGCAATGGAGTCTGGAGGGAAAGCTGGGGTGCCTGCTGAGTCCTGCGTTCAGCCTAGAGGGCTCTTCCTTCCTCTGGTCATGGCCAGCGCCTGTGGGGCCTTCACACCCTGGCTTGGGTGGCCAAGCCACCCCTTGTGGCCCTGGGCCAGCTTTGCAGGTGTCTCTGGATCCTGCGAGAGCCAGGATTGCTGCCCATCCTTCCCAGGGCCAGTGGGAATGTGTTGGGGTCTGGGAACTGGCCAGGGGATAGGGTCTTACAGCACTGTGTCCCTGGACCCCACCCGGCACCTTAGAATAGTGACTGGGGGCTTGAGGCCAGCCCAACTGGCTGCTTACCCTGGTGGGGGTGTACTCATCTCCATGGCTTTCTCAGTAGGCCTGAACTGGCAGAGGCCCATGGTGGGGACCAGTACCATGCCAGGGTTGGGTGCAGGCAGCTGGCAATGAGCCCAATAACTGTCCAGGACCGGGGGTGTGGAGTTTTCCCAATGAGCTGCCCCACTCTGGAGCCTCCCTGGGGGCCTGGATCTCTACGGTCACCTTCTCCCATGGGCTACCTCTGCTTCTGGGACCTCATGTGGGACATTCAGGATCTCATTCTGCCCAAGTTTCTCAGCTTAGGTGTCAGGACCAGGGTTGGCACCCTGCTCCCTGATGAGGTCCCTGCCTGCGTTGGGAAGGGTGCTGGGGTAGCAGGTGGCTCCAAAAGGGAAGGGGCTTGTGCCTCCAAGTGCCAGGCCTTGGCTGTCCCTTCCCTGCACATGGATTGTGTCCCTGCAGTGTCCCTAGGGATGAGGCTGGTGGCCCGTCCAGTGAACAGGAGGGAGGCTGGGCCCTCATTGGGCCCTGGTCTGACCCTTGGTAGTAGCAGCCTCCCAGAGCAGGGAAGAAGGGGTCTGCTGGCTGATGGCTGCATGCTAGAGCTCTGTGGGGCCGGGGTTAGCTGTCATCAGGGAGGGCCGGGCTATCCCAGCTCCCAGCCTGGCACTGGATTCCTGCTCTGGCCTCTGCTGTCCTGGACACTTGGCCTGTCTGTGCCCGGGCTTCTCCTCTGCTGAGGGACTGGTAGGTGGAGGACAGGGCTGCCTCTGGGCTGGCAGTGCTGAGCTGAACATGGCTGCCCAGAGGTCCAGCTGTTCTGTCCACAGGGTTCCTGGGAACCAGGCCTTAGCCAGGTACTCCTGCAGGGTGTGGCCTTCAGCTGGGGTCTGTTTTGCCAGGGACAGGGCCCTGGCCACCAGCCTCTGAGTCTCTACCTCCTATGCCTGCCCCTCCCCAGCTGTGGGTGTGATTAGCACTAATGTCACATATCAAAAAAGCCTTTTGAAAGGCGTTTAATATTGTCACAGGAAAGAAGTTAGATTACGCTCAATTTCTGACATTAATGTGCTACTTAAGATAATTCATCATATTGTGGTATTAAAAAAGACACCCCTTTCATGGTGGCTTCTGAGTGGCGCCCCTCCCCCCTCCCCTGCCTGGGCCACCTTGGGGAGTTGGAAGCCCTCCCCTTTTTAATGCAAAATGTGTTTTTCCCTCCCTGGCTTTGTGATAACTGCACATTTCTGGGGAGAGACTCAATGAGCTTGTCTCCTGCAAGGACCCTGTCATTTCCCTGCTGTAATGACAGGTTCTGTGGCAGCAGACAATGGCCCGGCGCTGGGACGAGGACAGCTGAGGGGGGCAACCTGGTGGCCACTGCCTGCCCGGTCCCCTCCCTGCCTGGCTGCGGGTGGACCTGGGATTAGAGGTAGTCACCAGTGTTGAGTGCTGTGTCCTGGCTCCTCTGGGGCTCTCCTCCCTGCCAGGAATTCTCTCAAATCTCCAGAACCCATTTGGCTCCTGAAGTGGTGGGGAGTTCGCACTGGAGAAAAAATTGCTAGAAATTACCCGGAAGTGCACATTTTTATCTGCTTTGCAGTGGCATCTGGAAATGAAATAGTTTTGTTCATGCCGTCGGGGAATAAAAGAATCCGTTCTCGCCTGATGGAGCCCAGGTCCTCAGCAGCACAATAGCTGAGTGTCTTCTACACCTCTCCCTGAGGGTGTAGTGTGGGCCACCTCCCGCGGGGTCTGCACATCCAGGCACCCACGTCATAGGGGAGGGGATGGCACTTGTGCGCTTGTGCACCTTACCATGGTAAACCAATTTCACTGGCGTTATGTATCTGTCACTTACAATTAAAACCCGTGAAAAATATTGGCTCTGAAATGAGTCTTGGGTAATATAATTTATATGGGTGTGCAGACCTCAGAGGTCCCACGGAAAGTGGACAGCACTGTCCTCCAGCAGAAGGTGTAGCCTGGCTGTGAGGAGCCCGAACTCGGGGTGCTCGTGGGAATAGCGCGTGCTTACTGGCTGTGCCACCTGGAGGCCCCCAGTGTCCTACATGAGAGAAAGGGCACTTGCCTGAGGTCCTGTTCTCCACACGGCAGCCTGGGCCCAGTGCTCCCTCTCGGGGTGTGGCTGTGCAGGGGCTCACCTGGGGCTGCGCTGTGTGCTCTAGAGCTGCACGTTGGCACTGTGGTGAGCCCAGGGGACTGCACCTGCGGCTCAGACCCACCCTCGTCCTGTCCCCCCTGGCCAGAGGCGGCGACCTTGGGTACCCCACCCCACCAGAGCCACCCTGGCCCTCTGAGACCCATCGCCCTGCATGGCTTGTCCACTTGCCATCCATAGATGCTCCTGCGGTCTCCTGGTCCCCAGGGCCTGAGGGACTTTGACTCCTGGGGAGGAGGGTCCTGGAGGAGCCCCCAGGCTCATGGGCAACACTATTCTCAGCCTGCTTCATGGGACCCCATCACACCTAAGCCTGTGGCCCCTGGTTCTCAGCTGCTGTCTGCCATCCTCCCGCCCACCTGCCTGGGGCTTCATGTTCTCTCTGCCCGCTGATCTCATAGGGATCTGCTTGGGCCGCATTCCTGCGGTGTCAGTACCTGCGCTGAGACCTGCTCTGCTGTCCCAGCTCGCGCTGCTCCTCCTGCCCTGTAATTAGTGGCCAGCTGGGCGGGTGTGGCCTCAGAGCCTGCTCTCCTGCCCCAGGTGAAAGTCATGCTGCGCATCTGGCCAGCACAGGGTGCCCAGCGCTTGGCCGAGTCTGCATCCTTGCTGAAGGTGGACTCTCGGAAGAAGCAGGTGGCCCTGTACGATCCGGTCGCTGGGCCCCCAGGGGCTGCGGGCTTCCGGCGTGCGGCCACTGCGGCCACGCCCAGGACGTTTGCTTTTGATGCCGTCTTTCCTGCAGACTCGCAGCAGGTACTGGGCCGGGTCTGGGAGCGAGGGGGAAGGGTGGAGAGTCAGGTGCCTGCCGAGCCACCTGAGGTGCTGGGGTCTCTGTATCACCTTCCTGGGAAGCCTTCTGGGCAGGGCTGTTTTATCCTGGAGGCGAGGCCACCCCTCCCAGCCTTGTGTGCCTCACACAGCCTGACCACATCTCCTGTGTGCTGTCATGTTCTAGTGTGGCCACCTCAGCAGCAGCTCTGTTATGGGGGTGTGCATGTGTGCAATATAGGGTGTGTCTGTGAACACCCACCTTGTAGTGTATGCACTCAGGTGTGTTATAGGATGTGTGTGCACACAGGTGCATTGTGGAGTGTGTGCACAGCTGCATTACGGGATGTGTGTGTGCCATGTGTGTTATGGGGTATGCACAGGTATGTTATGGGGTGTGAGCATGCTTGCTGCCACCAGACCCAGCATATGCCAGCTATTCTGTGTGCATTCATGCATGTCCCATCCTCTGTACACGTGGTCCTGTGCCTGCCCCAGGGACTGGTGGGCTGCAGGTGAGAAGGGCAGACAGGCTTTGGGCTCACACATGGGGCAGAGGTGGTGACTGCAGTCCCCCCTGCCCCGCCTCACCCCTGGCTCCTCCCCAGGCTGAGGTCTGCTCTGGGACCGTGGCCGACGTGCTCCAGTCTGTGGTTGGTGGGGCGGATGGCTGCATCTTTTCCTTTGGCCACAGGAGCCTTGGTGAGCACTCCGGTCACCCCACTACCCATGTGCTGCTACAGTCTCTGGACCCTGACCTGGGTGGGGAAGGAGCACGGTTGCCCTGTGGGCACAGGAGTCTTTGTGGAGGGGATGCTGAGGTTGCAGAGAAGGCAGAGGCCTCGCTGAAGACCCTGGGCAGGACTGGGGTGGATCCAAAGGCGTGTGTGGACAAGGGTGGACCCTGACATGCCCGGTGGTCCCCAGGCAAGTCGTACACCATGATTGGGAAGGACAGCTCAGCCCAGAGCCTGGGTGTGGTGCCCTGCGCCATCTCCTGGCTCTTCCGCCTGGCGGAGGAGCGCAGGGAGAGGACGGGCACGCGCTTCTCCATCCGTGTCTCGGCTGTGGAGGTGTGCAGCTGGGACCAGAGCCTGCGGGACCTGCTGGCCGACGTGGCCTCTGGCAGCCTCCAGGACACTCAGTCTCCAGGCGTGTACCTGCGGGAGGACCCGGCGTGTGGGGCACAGGTGCACCAGGGCCACTGTCCTTCCAGGGCTGCAGGGTGGGTGGGGTGGGGGACCGCGCAGGGCCCCAATCCCCTAAAGTCAACATTTCCTCTATCTTCTGCAGGTGCAGAACCAAAGTGAGCTGCGGGCACCCACGGCCGAGAAAGCGGCCTTCTACCTGGACGCTGCACTGGCCTCCCGCAATGCCCGGGCCAGTAGGGAGGATGGGGGCCGCAGCTCCCACCTGCTCTTCACGCTGCATGTCTACCAGTACCGTGTAGAGAAGTGTGGACAGGGGGGAAGTAAGTGCCACCTGCTGTCCGTTGGGGTCCTGGGAGGGTGGTTTCCCGGGCACACACCACCACCTTTCTTTCCAGTGTCTGGAGGCCGCAGCCGCCTGCACCTCATTGATCTAGGCAGCTGTGAGGTGGCACCCGGCCGGGGTGAGGAGACTGCCGGGGGATCCCTGTGTCTGTCCCTGTCGGCTCTAGGCAGTGTCATCCTGGCTCTGGTCAACGGTGCCAAACATGTGCCCTACAGGTGAGCATGACACCTGGCAGATGGTGCTAAGGCAGGCCTGGGACTATGGGGGTAGCTGATCTCCCGGCCGGCACCCTGCCCCTCGCCCAGCCTCCCGCCCTGACGGTGCTGCCCCTTGATTCTCCAGGGATCACAGGCTCACCATGCTGCTCCAGGAGTCCCTGGCCACCACCAGCTGCCGCACCACCATGATTGCCCACGTGTCAGACGCTCCAGCCCACCACGCTGACACACTCAGCACCGTGCAGCTGGCCGCCCGCATCCACCGCTTGCGCAGGAAGAAGGCCAAGGTGGGCTCTGTGCTGCTGCCCCATGCCACATGCTGCGGGCTGCTGTGGCACCTGCAGGCCCCTGGGGCTGTACCAGGAGGGAGCCGGGAGCCACGCCTGGATTCCCAACCAGCCCAGCTGGAGCTGCCTGCTGTGGGCTTTGTGGTTCTCTGTGGTTCCCTGGACCCACAGCAGACCGCTGGGCAGTAGGATGTTGGCACCACCCTGGCAAGGGGCTTCCCAGGCACCCTTCCACAGGGCCTAAGGGTGGACTTCGGGGCCTTCAGCCACACTGCCTCGAGTCTGGGTTCTGGGTCTGCTCGTTGGGCCCTGTGGCAGGGGGCAGGGTTCTTGTGGTTCCCAGCACTGAGCCAGCCATGCCACGTGGCCCCTGCCATTGCGATGCTACAGGTGGCAGTGGCACAGTGCTGTTGGGAGGGGAAGGGAGCAGGGCCGAGCTGACTGGAGGTAGGGTGTGCTCACAGGGCTCCACTCTGTCACCCCCAGCACGCATCCAGCTCTTCTGGAGGGGAGAGCTCCTGTGAGGAGGGCCGGGCCCGCCGCACCCCCTACCTGCGGCCCTTCCACTCGCGTGCGGTGGCCCTGGTCCCTGATTGCCCGGTGCCTGGCCTGCCCGGCGACCCCGACTACTCGTCCAGCAGTGAGCAGTCCTGTGACACGGTCATCTATGTAGGGCCAGGCGGGACAGCGCTGTCGGATCGCGAGCTCACCGACAACGAGGGCCCTCCGGACTTCGTGCCCATTGTCCCCTCCCTAAGCCGCTGCTGGCCCTCCGCTGGCCCCCGGGATGCCGACCACTTCCGCTGTAGCACATTCGCGGAGTTGCAGGAGCGGCTAGAGTGCATTGATGGCAGTGAGGGCCCTGGAGTCCCGGGCGGCAGCGACAGAGCCCAGGCCTGCCTGGCACAAGGAGGCAGGAAGCCTTCGCCACCTGAGGCCATGTCCCTCAGGAAGGGTGTGGGCCCCCCAGTGGCAACTAGCACCCCTCGAGGCAGCCCTGGCCCAGACATCCACCAGGGTGACCTGGACCCTGTCAGGGTTGGTGCCCAGGGTAACCAGCAAGAAGATGGCAGCTCCTGGTGTGAGCCACTGGCTCCAGAAAAGGCTGCAGGGGCCGGAGGCCGGAGGCCGCTGCCCAGCCCGGCCCCTCCACCGCCCAGGCAGCCAGAAGCCCTGGGAGACCTGGTGGAACTCCGGGGAGGGGGCACTGACGGAGCAGTACGGACACCCCCCGTGGGCATGAGTGGGCAGGGGCACTTCCCACTGGCCCTGGACTCAGCCTGCCCCTGCCCATCCACGCGTGGCCATCATCTGGAGCGGGGCCTGCTGACCACCACAGTGACCCTGCAGCAGCCCGTGGAGCTGAATGGCGAGGATGAGCTTGTGTTCACAGTGGTAGAGGAGCTGCCCCTGGGGGCTCTGGCAGGCGCTGCACGGCCCTCCAGCCTGGCCAGCTTCGGCAGCGATTGCTCCCTGCAGGCCCTGGCCTCGGGCTCTCGGCCAGTTAGCATCATCAGCAGCATCAACGATGAGTTTGACGCCTATACCTCTCCGGCCTCTGAGGGACCTGGGGGGCCGCTGGAGGGAGGGTCCCGGCCAGGAGGTGGCCCTGGCTCCTCTGTTGGCTCCTGGCTCAATGAGGTTGGTGTCTGTGCAGCTGCCAGCCGCAGCCCCACACCACAGCCTCCCTTTAGCCACGATGCACCAGTTGGGCTTGGGCCTCCAGAGCTCCCTATCTGGGGCAGCTCCCTGGATGGTGTCAGGTCTGCTGAACAGGGCAGGCCTGATGCTTCTGGCCCAGCCCAGAGTCCGTGCACTGGGGAAGCAGCTGCTGCGGGCCTGTCCCGAGCTGGCCGGGAGCCCTGGTCTAGGTCCTCTCAGGGCACCACCACAGCCCAGACCATCCACTCCAGCCTTCCACGGAAGCCCAGGACCACCTGTGCGGCCAGCCATATGGTCTGCGCTCGCCCTGGCCGGAGCCCACCCGGCCCTGGAAGCCTGTTTGAGGACCCATGGCTGCTGCGTGCAGATGACTGTGATGCCTCCAGCCCTACCCCAGGTTCCCCCTGGCTCCCTGAGGCACAAGCAGGGCCAGCTAATGCCCAGCGGGTGGTGGATGGCTGTGTGGTGGTGGCCAGGGTGGCCCGCAGGCCAGAGGCTGTGGCTTGGATCCCACCGCTGCGGCGGGGAGCCACCACACTGGGGGTGACTACACCTGCCAATTCCTGTGGGGACGCTGTGGCTGAGGTGGCTGCCTGCTCCACCAACCTGAGGGGTTCTCCTGGCAGCAAGAAGGGCATGGCTCACAAGGGAGGCTTCTTCCCGAGGCCTGGTGGGGCAGCCCCCCCAGCCCCTCCCGTGCGCAAGTCCAGCCTGGAGCAAAGCGGCCCAGCCCAGGCCCCCATCCTGGCCCCCAGCCTCACCCGGACAGGGGCTACTGCCACCTTTTGTGGGGAGGAGGAGGCTCGGCCCAGTGGCCGGCCTGACCATGCCATTCCTAAGGCCACATCCAGCCTCAAGGCCCGGACAGGCAGGATGGAGGTGGCCCACCGTCCTGCTGGCCACATGTCCCTGGAGCGGTATGAAGGCCTGGCACACAGCAACAGCAAGGTCCGGGAAGCCCCTGGACGGCTGCCCCGGGCTGTGCCCAGGCTGGGTGTGCCATCTGCTAGCCCCATGCCCGGGCCGTCCCCTGCTGGCCGGAGCAGCGCAGCAAAGTCCATGGGTGCCCCCAAGCTCCCAACTGGTGGGGCTAAGAGCCGCAGCTTCATGGCCAGTGGCTCTCGGGCTCTGGGTGGGTCAGTGAAGCCCCTGGCCCCAGTGGCTGGCAGGCCCCCTGGTGGCCCTGGGACAGGACCCCGAGTGGCCCCACGGGCTGCTCCTGGAGTTGGGGCCAAGGCTGGCCGGGGCACCATCATGGGCACCAAGCAGGCACTCCGGGCTGCTCACAGCCGCGTGCACGAGCTGGCAGCTGGTGGGGCTCCAGTCAGGGGCGGCTTCTCTTGGGGCTCCGCGGACTCGGACAGCGGCAATGACAGCGGTGTGAATGTCGTGGAGGAGCAGCCACCTGCGGGCCCCACCCTACCCTCTCCCTACAGCAAGGTGACAGCACCCAGGCGGCCCCAGCGCTACAGCAGCGGGCACGGCAGTGACAATAGCAGCGTGCTGAGCGGGGAGCTCCCGCCCGCCATGGGCCGCACGGCCCTCTTCTACCACAGCGGTGGCAGCAGTGGCTATGAGAGTGTGATGCGGGATAGTGAGGCCACCGGCAGCGCATCCTCGGCCCCAGACTCGATGAGTGAGAGCGGGGCTGCCTCCCCGGGGTCCCGCTCCCGCAGCCTCAAGTGCCCCAAGAAGAGGGCCACAGGTGGGTGCCACAGCCCTCGGTGGGCAGCTACTGCAGTCTAGATTCCTGGCAGGTACATGCTGTGCCAGGGCCTGTGCCCGGCCTCTTCTGCAGCCCCCCAGCATGGCGCAGCACGTGGGTGCTCTCCAGCACTGTGCACAGGTGCCAGGTGTGCATGGCCCTTGACGGTTTATAATCGTGCCCGGGCTTCTCGGTACTGGATGTGTGCAGCTCCCCAGTTTACGAACCCATGACAAGGGGCATGCATCTCACAAGTTCCACATGCATGTATCCCTTGACCATTCTCAGACATGCCTGGGGCTTTAGCACGTGCCCTGCTCTCTACAGTTTATACTCATGCACGGGACTGCCCTTCTCTGATGCCCCTGGTTACCCCAGGGGTGGGTCCTCACCCCGGTTAGGGCAGCCTCATGTGGGGAATCAGCTGGAGTCCTGGGGAGCCAGGTGAGGGCTGGTGAGAGCTGGGTCTCCTCGCTTGTGAGTCTCCCAGCTGCCTGGAAATCTATGCCGGGACTGCTCTGGGGGGAGAGCAGCCCGGTCTCTCCCTGTCCTGGGGCAGTTGGGGCTGGGAGGGTTTGAATGAGCTGGCACTCGGTGCTACAGAGCTGTGTCTGCAGGGGTAGCCAGAGTGGCTGTCCAGGTGAAGGTGGCCAGGTCTGGGGCTTAGGGGGGCCCAGGGTGCCCAGCCTCTGCTCACCTGCACGTGGTCCTCTCTTCCAGGTCTGCAGAGGCGGCGGCTGATCCCAGCCCCAATGCCCGAGGCTGCTGCGCTGGGCCGCAAGCCCGCTCTGCCTGGGCAGTGGGTGGACCTTCCCCCGCCACTGGCCGGCACTCTGAAGGAGCCCTTCGAGATCAAGGTGTATGAGATTGACGATGTGGCACGTCTGCAGCGTCACCGCCTGCCCCCACGGGAGGACCTGGCCCAGGTTGGGGCTAGGGGTGGAGGCTGAGGGCCAGGGCTGGCAGAGTGGGCACAGCTGGGCACTGCTGACCACCCTCTCTTGTCCACAGCCCTCCCAGGAATCGGAGAAGGTAGGGACCAGCCCTGTCCAGCCCCGAGCCGGCAGTGACCCCTGATATCCCCCTTTGGCAGGCATGGTGGGAGGAGCCTGGTGGATACCTGTGCCCACGCTGGTGACCCTCCTGTGTGCCCACCCAGGCCGGTGGGTGGAGGGAGGCCTGGGTTCAGAGTGTTCCCGGGGGAGCCCTGGTCTCCACACCTGAGCCTGCGTGTCCCTCTGCCAGGGCCTGGTGAGTGTCAGCTCCAAGCTGCGGCTGGCTGAGCGCAGACAGCAGCGGCTTCAGGAGGTACAGGCCAAGCGCAACCATCTCTGTGAGGAGCTGGCTGAGACCCAGGGCCGGCTGATGGTGGAGCCTGGCCGCTGGCTGGAGCAGTGTGAGTGCCCCATACCCTCTGCCCTGCTCCAGTCCCTTCTCCCTGACCTGCTGTGTCCCCCGCCCTGCCACCTGCTCCTGTCTGCCCTCCAGCTGCTGTCATGCAAGAGGGAGTGAACAGGAGGTCCCTGGGCCGGGCAGCTTTCCTGGGACTTCAGGAGCCTGCCTGCTGCCTGGCCCCTGTCCTCACCCTGTCTGTCCCCCCCCCCAGTTGAGGTGGACCCGGAGCTGGAGCCCGAGTCGGCTGAGTACCTAGTGGCTCTGGAGCGAGCCACAGCCGCCCTGGAGCAGTGTGTGAACCTGTGCAAGGCCCACGTCATGATGGTCACCTGCTTTGACATCAGTGTCGCCACCACCACTGCTGTGCCAGGGCCACAGGAGGTGGACGTCTGAGGCCAGGCGCTGGACAGGGGAGGGGATTGCAGGTGGTGTGAGGACCAGATGTGAGATGGAGTGAGGATGTGGTGGGGCTGAGAGGCGAAGATGGGAGGTCTCGGAGAGATGTGGCGTGGGGAGGGGAGGGCCGGCTGGCGAGGATGGAGCAAGCAAGGTCAGGGGGGCCGGGAGATGGTCACCACCCCGACAGCCACGCAAGTGCCTTTTACCTCGAGTTGGACTCTTCTCCTTTTTGCATTTGGTGCTATGGACTTGAGACACCAGCAGACGTTTGCTGGGCCCCAGCTCTGGCAGCTGTGCCCAGCTGGCTCTGTCAACTCCACCTTCCTCAAGTGAGCAGTCCGGTCCCAGCCCTTGGTCAGGTTCAAGTTTCTTTTCCTTTGCAGCGGCTTCCTCTTGGCAGAGCAGGCGCTGGCGGTGGGATCATTGGAGCCGGATGCTGTCCTTCCCTGAGGACCCTGCTCTGTCCTGAGGATGCCAAGGGCCCTGGACGAGGGCCAGGCCACGTGCACACGATGCCTTCTTCCACGGCAGGAATTCTTACCAAAACTGCAAGCAAAAAAACCCACAACAAAACCAATCACCTATGCCAGAGACAGGGGTAAGGGTTTTCTAAATGTTCTGTTAGGTTCCTATTTTTGTATCATTTTGCCTATGAACACGGAGTTTGCTGTGGGAATTTGAAGACAAATGATCTATGTTTTTATGGTTTTCTACAGAAGTTGTTTGGGGCCGGGCTCTTTGTGGAGGTCCTACGTGCAGGGTGGGCCTGCAGCCTGTGATGTTCCTGCTCCACAGGCCTGTTTTCTGACATTGCGTGTTTTATAGGATGTCTGAACCTTTGTACAAACGTGTAGATAACATCTTGCTATGGTTTTTATTTGTGAATAAAAGAGTTGATCACATGGTCCCTTGCCCAGGACATGGTGCCCTCCCTGTGGTTCCCTGGGGCTGGGTGGGGCAGTACGGCTGGGGTGCATCCGAGGGACCAGAGGCAGGAGGGCTGTGCTGGGGCCTTAGCCTGTGCCACAGCCCCTCAGGGGCCACTGTGCAGGTGAGGGGCCACCAGTTTTCTCTCCAATCCCCATGCCCTCTCTGGGTGCTGCTAGGTTTTCAGGGTTCCAGGATGGGGTGGGGAGCCAGGTGTGGAGCTGGGGTGGTGTCAGCTGGCTCCCTTCTTGTGGTGTGACATCTGGGGAGGCAGAGGTGGGTAGCACGACCCCTTGGAGACCCCTCGGTGGCCTCTTCCTTTGTCTCCTGCCTGCCTAGCTGGGAGACAGCCGTACCCTTGGGGCACATCAAGGCCCAGGGACCCAGAGCAGGCAGGAACCCTGCCTGAGGGGCTGGCTCTCCCTGGCCCTGTTCCCAGTTTGGGCTCAGTGCTCGCAGGGTCTGGCAGCCTTTGCTAATTCATATCCAGTGATCCCCGTGGAATCAGTTCTTGCCCCCACACCTGTTTCTTTGTTGCTGCCCGCCCCTGCCTTCGGGGCTACACCTGTCCCCCTAGCCTGCCCTGCTTGGGCCTGACCAGAGCACCCCCACATTGTACCCCATTTCCCTGGCCCAGTTCATGTGCCCTACACACTTAGCCCTGAGTCTGGGACCCCTCCAGGGCCTGCTCGGCAGGTGTTCTTCCTGGCTCTAGGTGGTAAGTGTGGCGCCTCCTCTGTCACATCTTATGTGGTCTCTGTCTCTCGCCTCAGTGGGGCCACAGGGGAGGGCGGCTCTGAGTCATGGATTGTCACACCCCCCAGTGGCAGGTACAGAGTGGGCCCACAGACCTTGGGGCGCTTGCCAAAGCATGAACGCATGGGTGGATAGGTGGCTGTGTCTCCTTATAGGTCCTGTCCTTGATGTCTCAGATGGGACAGGATGAGGGGCCTGGGGGTCAGGACTCGGGATGTCCAGGCCGTGGGTGTGGCCTCCAGCCTCAGGTGGGGATCAGAGGCCAGCTGGGAGGTGGGGTCCAAGTCCCCCTCCCCAGGTCTTCTGAGACTTGGCTTCAGCAGAGCCCAGACTCCTGGGAAGGGCGAGGTTGTTCTGAGCCAGCCAAGAGCCACCCAGGCTGCTCTGTTTGCTGGAGGACTCCGCTGGGGTGGCAGGGTGTGGCAGAGCTTGGGGCGGCCAGTAGGTTCTCAGGGGAGGCTGAGAAGCCTGCCTGGTATGTGGTCCTGCACATGGTTTAGGGTAGACCCGGCCTGCCGAGTTGCTGTCTGGGGACCCGTAGTGCTGGCCCATGGGAAGGCCTGAGGAGGCCCCTGGTCCTGCATTGTGTCCCTTGCACCGTGTCCCCTGCATGGTGGGGGTGGGTGGGCACTTCCTTTCCTGCTGCAAGGAACACTTAAAGTCCCTCCCCTGTCTTGGGTCACCAGCCTTTGACCCTCACTGCTGTCCAGTGGGGCCTCTGTGGTCCAAGCTGGGGATGCCTGGCTTTGGCTGGGTGGATCCCGATTCCCACAGCCCAGGTGCCCCATGAAAGGCGGCGTCTGCTCTTCTGGACAAGGAATCTTCTGTCCCAGGCCAGGCCTGGGAGCCTTGGGTGGCCTTTCATCTGGGACATCAAAGCCTTCAGCCCCGTCATTACAGCCTGGGAACCAGCCCGAGTCTCAGAATGCCCATTTTATGGATGGGAAAGCTGTGGCTGCCCAGGGCCCAGCTGTTTGAGCCAGAGCAGGGGCAGGCCCTTCATGGGGTCTGTGTGCATCCTGCTTGTCAAACATTTGGGGAAAGTGAGGCCCAGAGAGGGCAGGGGGTACCCAAGTCCCCGTTCCTGTGTGCTTACTAGATGCACTTGGGGGCCTGCAGGTGGGAGGGCCCCTGGGGATGTCAAGATCAGAAAAGCCTGGGGTAGGAGTAAGGGCCTTGGGGAGGGCAGGGGCCTGGCGTGAGCAGTGTGGCTGGCGTCTCTCACAGGCTCCAAGGCACCCTGGCACCGGGCCACCTGCTCCCTGGGGTGAGGTGCCCGCCTGATTCACCATGCCAGCATGTCCATGCCTGCTCTGCTGCCTGGCCCACTCCAGCTGGGCTGGGATAGAGCGAGTGATCCCCGGGCCCTGCCATCCTGCTGCCCCCGAGGCCACTATCCCTGAGGGCAAGGGGCTCCCCTTCACCTTGGACCAGCCTCAGCAGGGAACAAGAGCTGGTGCCCTGGGAGTGAGTGCTTGGGTCTCAAGGGCCATGTTTGCAGCAGGAATGGTGACGTATGGCGACGGCTAGGGCAGCAACAGGACTGCTGTGGGGCAGGAGAGTGGCACAGTGGCATTGGAAGTCCTGGGCCTGGAGACAGCTGTGCTGGTCTGCAGTCTGGGTTCCGACAAAGATCTCTTTCCTTCTGCCCATCTGCCTGGGGTGCCCAGGGAGGGTGCCACACTGACAGCCAATGTTGCTGCTCCAGATGCCTTCCTAGAGCCCAGCGGGTGGGTAGCCTCAGTCCTCTCTGCTAGTGTCACAGTCTCCCTGGGGACTCCCTGTCTCCAGGCTGGCTGCCTCTGGTACATGGGGCTCTAGGCTCCCTGGAGTTGCCCTGGCCTCCCCACCCCGTGTCCCTGGTGGTCACTGTCCCCCAGCCCTCCCAGGAGCGGGGCTGGGAGGGTACAAGGTGGGGTGCTGACTCTGATGGCTGGTCCTCTCCTGGGACTGGAGTGACGGGCTGGGGCGGGGTCCACTCCAGCAAGAAGGAAGCTTGGGGAGATGTCGCCCTCCTGACCTTTTGTCTGGTGTGGCGGGATCCTGCAGTTTCCACACAGGAAGCCTGGAGGCCAGGAGGGTGGGAGGTGTCCCCAGTAGCTAAGGAGCAACTTCCTCTGGGCAAGGCTGCTGGGGTGGACTCAGAGGCCAGGTCCAAAAGAGGCCCACTCAGAACCAGTCTTGGTGAGGTCCAGGAGCCCCAGGCTTGTGTCCTAGTCTGTCTCCCTCAGATGAGCCCAGGCAGAGATCCTGGGGTCTCTGCAGTGAGCTGGGGCGTCTGTGGTCTTGGGGCCTCAGGAGGGGCAGGCAGGGCAGGGACTGGGTCCTTTTCCCTCGGATGCCCTTCCACACCCAGCTGTAGCCAGAAGTCAAGGGTCTCCCATCCCTTGTGCCTGTCTAAGTGCACCCAGCCACATCACACCTTGGCCTTTTGTTATACTTTGTGTATTTCAGTCACCTGAAAACTGACTTACAACCAGGGAGTGGCTTGCCTAGTGTGTGAGGGAAGCCTTGGTTCCATCCTTTCTGGTTCCATCCATCCGGCACTGCAAAACCAAAACCAAAACAGAACAACTGAAGGGAGCCTTAATGCTCACTGCCTCAGTTTCCCCTCTAATCCATTTGGCCCAGGACCCCATCCGGGAAGCCACAGGAGGAATGAGGGGGCAGTTTACTTCCAGTGGGGTTGAGCTTTGGCCTGTGTGGCTCGAAATTTGTCTCCTTGGGGGATTGGTCTCCTCCCACTGATGACTTCGATCCTTGCTCACATCGGTCAGTATAAGCGGAGGAGGCAGGTTGGTATTCTACATGGGGCTGTCTAGCTCCATGTGGGTTGTAACTGAGCATCCACCTCTGGCCCCTGGCACCCTCAAAGTTTGTCTGTGTCACTTCTCTGGCTCCCATCTGTCCCTGGGGTGAGCAGCACTGTCTGGTCCCCACATGGTCCTCAGCAGGTTGCCTTGACATCCCGGAGCTCTCAGGCCTGGCCATCTTTGCTGGCTCTCCATCCCCTGGGGACATGGTCCTGAGGGTCCTGAGGGTCCTGAGGGCTTTTACCCCAGAGGCTAATGTGTCATCACAGACAGCACAGACCTTCCTGTCTCCCTCGTCAGGGCTCCTGGGGGCTCCTTTTGTGGTCCCCTGCCCACCCTGACCCTTTTAGCAGGACCTGCCTTGGCCTGACTGCAGAGCCCTTTCGAGTCTGGGCTGGTGCCTTCCCTGGCAGCTGCCGGTGATGCCTGGCCCAGTGAACCCAGTGGCCCAGAGGTGGGCTCGAAGTGGGCAAGACAATGGCAGAATAACAGGGTGGCTGTGTCCTCACCTGGCCCCAGGGCTGGGAGAAGGAGCAGTGACGTCCTTGAGAACCCACAGGGTGGCGCCGGGTGAGGTCACCCCAGAGCTGCCTGCATGTTGCGGTCATCATCACCTTGGGGGAGTGAGGTCAGACAGGACAGGTGTCCTGGGCTCCTTCTGCCACTGGTCAGCCCACCTGCCCCCTGTGCACCAGGCTGGACCCCACTTCCCACTTGGGAAACCCACCCCTCTGAGGAGAAAGCCCACTGCCCATAGAGGGCCCTGCATAGCTGAGCTGGCAGGGACCATGGGTTCCAGGGGCCACCAGGTATTGGCTTGGGTCGCCTACTGCATCTACAGGTCCTCCCAACCTGCGCCTGCATCATCCCCGCCATTAGATGTGGGGCCCTGTGGCCAGAATAAATCGCTCCCAGCCTCCAGCACGGGGGGTGGAGGGACAGGCTGTATTTCTCACAGCCTCAGTGGCTGTCCTGGGGAGCTGGTCCCCCTGGCAGGGGGCGGTGCTCTAAATCCCACACCTGCCCTAATTTGTGGTTCTGGCAATGCGGGCTCAGCTCCTGGCATCTTTATGAGCAGAGGAGCCTGGGCTGGAGCGGGACAGGCTGATATGATCTACAGCTCTGGTTGTCCCCGCATGACGTGCACAGCTCTTGCCCATGTCCTGAGCCAGGCCTGGGTCAGCTCTGATCTGGGCTCAGGCTGAGGACCTGAGGGTGCTGGCCCCATGCCTCTGCTCTGGGAGTCTTGACTTGGGTTATGGGGAGGAATTTCGACAGAGCACAGCTGTCCAGGGGCCTGGCTCTGGGCCAGGCTGAGCCGAGGGGGGCTCAGGTCCTGCCTGTAGCACACTCGAGTTCCTGGGGTGCAGGAGGGTGACCCAGGTGCTGGCCTGGAGGGGTGACAGGGAGGCCAGAC